GATGGTATTTTGTCATGTTGGCCAGGCTGGACTCAAACTCCTATTCTCAGGTGATCCACCCACCTCGGCCTCCCAAAGTGCTGGGATTAGAGGTGTGAGCCACCGCCCCGGCCAGAATGGAGAGTTTAGAAACTAAAAAATATGTCCAATAGACAAAAGTCAGTTGAGTTTCTTCATATCAGCAATAATGGATGGAAATGATTGGGACAAAAACTATTAAAATGCCATTTACAATATCACCTCTAAAGCTGAATCCATTAAGTACCAATGTAACAAAAGGTATGCAAATATGCATTCAGAAAACCGTGAATCACAGTTGAGAGAAACCAAAAGAAATATAAATAAATGCAGAGATGTTCCTTAATCCCTAACCTCTAACCCCCAACCCTAACCCCTAACTCCTGACCCCTAACCCCTAACCTCAACCCCAACCCCAACCCCAACCCAACCCCACCCCAACCACAGCCTAACCCTACCACTACTCTGATTACTCTTAGCTCCAAAGCTAACCTGATGGTAACCCTCAACCATAATTTCTAACTTTACTTTTACCTACTCCAATTCTAACCTTAATCTAAACCTACTCTAACCTTTAAGACTAATCGTAACCCTCACTAAACCTTTCATCCTAACCCTTCACCGTAATCCTGACCTCTCAACCTAACCCTGTTCCTCACCTGATCTCTCCCTCTACTATGCAGCTCCCAACCCCCAACCTGAACCTCCTATCTTGAAGCCCTTATACCATACTCTTTAATTGGTAAACCCTGAGCCCTTCAACCCCTATCTCCTGATTTTGTAATACCCTGACACACTAGCTCTGTAAATACTAACTGCAGTCTATACACAACCTCATCCTGATCTATCCTATTTAGTGCCATGCCACTTCAAGGACTGATCTATAACCTCAAAAATGTCAACTTAATAATCTTCAACAAAATAATAGCAAATTTAAACCAACAGCATTTTGAGAGGATCAAACACCATGAACATGATTTTTTATCCCAGTAACTCAATGGTGGTTCCACACACCAATGCCATCCATGTAACACACAGTATTGTTAGGATGAATGGAAAACACCCCATAATTTTCTCAGCTGTTGAAGAAAGGGCTTTCAACAAAGCTGGGATTACAGGCATATGCCACCATGCCCAGCTAATTTTGTATTTTTAGTAGGTTCATGTTTTCACCATGTTGGCCAGGCTGGTCTCAAGCTCCTGACCTCAGGTGATCTGCCTGCCTCGGTCTCCCAAAGTCCTGGGATTACAGGCATGAGCCACCATACCTGGCTGAAAAACCCATTCTATACATATACATTAGCAATGAATAATCTGCAAACACAATTATAAAAATTCTACTTCAAATAACACCAATAGCAATAATATGCTTAGGAATAAATGTAATCAAAGGGTAAGACTTAAAAGGGGGAAATTATAAGACATTGCTTAAGGAAATTAAAGCCCAAATAAATGTAAAAACATGTCATGTTCATGGATTTCAAGACTGTATTTCTTAAGTTTGCCAAACTACACAAAGCAATCTACAGATTCAGTGTTATTCCTATGAAGATTCTAAAGGCCTTGGGACAGAAATGGTAAAGCTGATCCTAATTTTCTTTTTTTTTTTTTCTGAGACGGAGTTTCGCTCTCGTTACCCAGGCTGGAGTGCAATGGCGCGATCTCGGCTCACCGCAACCTCCGCCTCCTGGGTTCAGGCAATTCTCCTGCCTCAGCTTCCTGAGTAGCCGGGATTACAGGCACGCGCCACCATGCCCAGCTAATTTTTTGTATTTTTAGTAGAGACGGGGTTTCACCGTGTTGACCAGGATGGTCTTGATCTCTTGACCTCGTGATCCACCCGCCTCGGCCTCCCAAAGTGCTGGGATTACAGGCTTGAGCCACCGCGCCCGGCCCTGATCCTAATTTTCATATGGAATTTCAAGGAACCCTGAAAAACCAAACCAATCCTGAAAAAAACTCCACATCTGGAGGTTTGCACATCCCAATTTCAAATGTTATTACAAAGCAATAGTAACCAAAACAGCATCATATTGGCACAAGAATAAACAAAAAAGATCAACTGAATTAAACTGGGAGTCCAGACATAAAACAATACCTCCATGCTCAACTGATTTTAGACAAGATTCATAACCATTAAATTGGGGAAAAATGCTGTCCTCAACAAGTGATATAAGGCAACTTGCTATCCACATAAAGGGACATGAAACTGTATCCTTACTTCATACCACATAAAAATTAACTTAAAATGGATCAAAGACCTAAATATGGCAAAAACTAAAAACTCTAGAAGAAAATGTACAGTTAAACCTTCATGACCTTAGATGTAGCAATAATTTCTTAGATCTGACACACAAACCACAAAAGAATAAATAAATCAATTGATTTCCTCAAAATTGAAAATTGTTTCACCTCAGAAGACATGAAGAAAAAAAGTTGAAAGATGAAACTGTAATAATAGGAAAAACAACTGTCTTCTAGTATGCTCTCAACAGTCAACACAGAACACTTCTGTTAACAGATGCATGGGTTTGTTTCCCCACACAGACCAAATCTTGGGTACCAGCTGGGTGTCCTACAGTACAATCCAATTCTGACATAGATAAAGCATCAGACCCCATAGGCTAAGGGCTCAGTCCTAAGGACACAGGGCATGCCTCTTGCTGCTTACAAATTCAACTGACAAACACGAGAATGGTGAAAAGAAAGTGACTTTATGCCAGAGCTTAGCTGAAGGGAACATACAGGCACTTGCCTTAAGGAAATCGCTTCCACTTTCAGGGCAGAAAGCGGGAGCTTTAAAAGGGGGACTTGGCAGGATGGCATGCAGTGGATGGGGTGAGGAGGTGCAGGGTCTATGGGACTTGCTCTGATGTTTTATCCATTAGGTGGTCTTGCTAGCACCACCACGGGCAGAGCTAGGTTGTAAAATGACTGTTGTCTCCCGGCAATCTCCTGGAGGGGGAGAGTCCAGGGGTGCCTGGATTGTTTCAAGGTTTGGTCCCTGGAACTTGTAAGTAAACACACAGTTAGAAAAGTTTGCAGTGTAGGCAGTGTCTGATGGAGAGACAGTAAAGCTTATAATTGCATTCCTAAAGAGCTAAGTAGGAAGTGCAGGAAAAGAAAAATGGTAAAATTAATTCATTTCATCTTTAAGAAAATACAGGTACTCAGTTATAAGATGATAATCACAAATAGTAGGTTCCCAGGCTATCTTCTGTCTGACTTGGCTACAAATTGGAGGCTCCCACAACACCCTTATTGGGTTCATCAATTTGCTACAGCACATTACAGAACACAGGAAAACAGTGTACCTACTCTTGCTGACTTATTACCAAGGATATTTTAAAAGTTGCAAATGAACAGCAAGATGAAGAGATGCACAAGGTGAGGTGTGTGGAAGGGGTGCAGCCTCCCGTGCCCTCTTCAGATATGACCTCCCAGCATCTCCCCATGTTCAGCAACACAGACACTCTCCCAACCCTGTCCTTCATTACACAGGCAGATTGGTTACATCAGTGGCCATAGGTGATCAACTCAACCATCAGCACCTCTCCCCTTCACAGAGATGGAAGTGGGGATGAAATTTCAAATCCTCTAAAGACAAGGTGCCCTTGGCAGCCAGCCCCACTGAGGCTGTCCAGGTGCCCCCAGCCATCAGCCATCTCATTAGCATACGAAAGACACATGATTTCATACATTCCAAAGGCTTAGCGCTCTGTTTCAGGACCTGCGGCAGAGATGACCACACGCTAACTCTTATTATGCTCCAATAACCCACGGAATGGAAGAAAAAATCTGCGCATTAGATACTTCATAACTGTCTGTTATCCCGAATGTATAAATAACTTTTACAACTCCACCACAAAACAACCCAATCTAAAAACTGACAAAGGACTTTAACACACACTTCACCAACAAGCACATGAAAATATGCTTAACATCATTACTCATAATTAAAACCATAACAAGATATACTTTAACTCACGCTAGAAAAGTTACACTAAAAAAAAAAAGTGTTGATAACGATGTGCACAAACCTGAACTATTAAACACTGCTTGTGACAACATGAAATGGTGCAGCCTATGGTAAAATGGCAAAATAATTTGGTGTTTCTTCAAAAAGTTACAAATAGATTTACCGTATGTCTCACTGAGTTCATTCCTAGGTATATACACCAAAGACCTGAAAACAGGTGTTCAAACAAAAACTTGTATGCTCTTTAAATGTGTCAAGATCATAAACATGCAGGTAAATCTTGGGAACAGTTCCAGGAAAAGAAAACTGGATCAGAATGAAAAAACACATTATATTCCCAGGTGGGGCAGGAGGTAAAAGTGAAATGAGTTTGTAGGCTGAATTTTCATGTAGGAACCATGCTGCTTTCCTGATCTAGGAGTTATGTGGTGGTTACCTGGGAGAGTGTCTGTACTTTGGGTAAAATATTCTGTATTTACACTGTAAATCTGGTACAGCAATAACTGATGGGGAATCTAAGAGAAGAAACAGGTTGTACTTTGTACTGCTACTGAAGTTTCCTAGAAACTTATTGAAAGTAAATTACTTTTTAAAACGACCATATCAATATCATACCGGAAAAGCAGAGACCTCATCAAAATCCATTTTAGAGGTTATAGTTCAGCCAAAGCTGTGAAACCCTTATAAAAGTCTCAATGTCAACAGAATCCACTTAGTTGATATTATATTTATTAGTATTAGAGGCTACTGTGTGATATATTAGTGTTCAGCATGGTGTGGATATTGTATTGGTGTTTGGGCATGGTGTGATTATTACATTAGAGGCCACTGTGAGAATATATATTAGCAGCCACTGTGTCTTGGACACTGACAATATCAGGGCGTAGTCTAAACAGTGGGATTTGAGGGTTTCATTTTTCTAGATGAATTTCTTTCTCTGCTGAGTACTGTAAAGACTATGTCCTCCGCACTCAGGGCTGTGAAAAGGAAGCTTTTTACTCACCAATGAACAACACCAAGATGACATGACCCTTGCGCTGCCGGGAGGAAGATAAAGCTCCTTGCTGCTTCTGGCACCTCAAAGGGAAGTTGGTTGGGGTGGTTTCTCACGCACTCTGGTGGCACCAGGGCTCAGAACAGATGCTCTTGCTCTCAGTTTCTTGATGGACGCGCACCCCCTCCTGGTTGTCCTGAAAAACCTATAAAATTCAATATTGTTTATTCAGTGTCATACTTTCGGAAATTCAAACCAAAATGAAGCCCACTATATCCATATTCTTCCCAAAAACGGGGATGGAAGAATTATTTGGAAGCCATATAGAATGAAATGAATGTACACACAAATTAAAACACAAAAACCTACTCAAAATAGTCCAGAGACTGTAATTGGAAATGCAAAACTATAAAAATCTAAAAGAAAATCTATGTGACATTGGGTTTGCTGTTGACTTTTAACACACATCAAGTGCCAATTCATGAAAATATTCACAACATGGACTTTATAAAACTCAATTTTCTACTGTGAAAAATCCTATTCAGAGAACAAAAAGACAAGACAGACTGTGGGAAGATATTTATAAAATACTTATATGATTTCTAAAACTGTATTGAAAATATACAAAGAACTCTTTAAAGGAACACTAAAGAAAAACTAAAAACCTAATTAAAACTGGATAAATATCTGAGCAGACACCTAGCCAAAGAAAATATACAGAGAGCAAGGTGGCTCATGCCTGTAATCCCAGAACTTTGGGAGGCTGAGGCAGGCGGATCACCTACGGTCAGGAGTTTGAGATTGGCCTGGCCAACATGGTGAAACCCCCTCTCTACTAAAAATACAAAACATTAGCCAGGTATGGTGGTGAGTACCTGCAATCCCAGCTACCTGGCAGGCTGAGGCAAAAGAATTGCTTGAACATGGGAGGCAGAGGTTGCAATGAGTTGAGATCACGCCACTGCACTACAGCCTGAATGACAGAGCGAGATGCTGTAAAAAAAAAAAAAGCCCCCCAAAATACAGAGATAACAATCACACAAAAGGTTGTTCAACATGATGTCTCATTATGAGATTGCAAATTAAAATAATGCTGAGATATCACTGCACACCTAACAGAACTGCAGGACTCTTAAAAGAGCTCAACAATAACAATTGGAGGTTGAAGAACAACAGGTACTATCATTCATTACTGGTAGAATGCATTAATGGTACCGCCACTTTGGGAGACAGTTTGGCAGTTTTTCCTAAAGATAAACAAGTCTTACCTACAATCCAACAAATGTACCCCTAAATTGTATTATGATTAGACAGCTGCTTTGAAAAATGATTTTCAAACAAAAACTAGCATAATCAACTTGAAATACAACCAAGCAATGGAATACCCATTCAGCAACAGAAAAGAATGAACTTTCAACCCATGAAAATAAATGAATGAATCTTGCATGTACGTTGCTAAGTGAAGGGTGGAAGTATGAAAATGCTATACATTATATGACTCCATTCATATGACAGTCCAGAAAAGACACAACTACAGAGATGATAATCAGATCAGTGAGTGACTGGGGTGGGGATTTGAAGTATTTGTATGATACTTTAGTGGTGAATACCTGACACTATGCATTTGATAAAACCCATAGAATTTTAAAGCACAAACAACAAATTACAATCTACAAAAATTAAATTACTTAGATTGTGGAAGTATCTAAGGACAAAATACACAGTGCAACCAAGAATCTAATTGTATTACCAATGTATGTTGCAAATGGTGGGCCAAAGGTACTGACATAAGTCATTTTGAATTAAGTAGAATCTACAGGCTAAAAGTAAAATGTACTATACAAAAACAGTAGACTATTTTATAAAGTTATTTCCCATAGGGATAATAGTTAATTTTGAAACCACTATATCTGTAAAAAGAAAAATAACCCTGATTTTCCACCATACTCTCGACACTTCACTTCTGACAGCAAATTGGGGTGGGGGATATTTCCCACACCAACAAATTTTCCAACTCTTTGGACAACACTTGGGTGACATTAATTACCTGGAGTTCATACAGACCCTACAGGTAAAGGGCTTAGTAACACCAGACTATCCCTAACCTCAGATGCCAATCAAAAGTAGTGAATCTCCAGTTTACCCAAACTTCTATATGACATAGCTAGAAACTAGGCACGCCAACACCCACTCCTCAGGTTTGATAATTTGCTATAATGGCTTATGGAACTCAGGAAAACACTTACTTATTATGTTTACTAGTTACCACGGTCTCAATGTGTGTATATCCTCCAAATTCCTATGTTGAAACGTAATCCCCAAGGGATGGTATTCAGAGGTAATTGAGAGGTGACTGGATCATGAGGGTACTGCCCTCATGAATGAAACCAAAACCCTTATAAAATAATCTAGAAGCCCTTTTCCCCATTCTACCATGTCAGGACATAGCTAGAAGGCACGATCTATGAGGGATGAGCCCTCACTAGACATCAAATCTGTCAGACTTGATCTGGGACTTTCCAGATTCCATATTGTAGGAATTTTTATGGAAGCTTCATCATGTAGACATGATCGATTATTAACTCAATCTGCAGTCCCTTCACACCCCCCAAAAGATTACACGTGAAGCTAACAGTTACAAGCTTCTTACCATGGCTTGGTCTTTCTGGTGAGCATCCCCCAACCTGAAACCATCCAGGAACCCACAGAGGGCCCTTACAGAAGACATTCCTACCACTCAGGAGATTCCAAGGAATTTAGGAACTCTATATCAGGAACCAGGGCCAAAGACCAAATATTAGAACACAGGATGTTGCTAGCACCCCTATTGTTCAGGAAATTATAAAAGTTTTAGGAGCCCTGTACCAGGAACTGGAGACAGAGACCAAACATATTTCTCACTAAATCCCAACCTGGAATCTAGATCAAAAATGAATTCCTTGTTCCCAATGGAACAAGGGATGAAATAAATTGCAGATAGTGGGAGCCAGTTTACTCACTGTTAGAGTGAGAAGCTACAGATGAGAAATGGGGGAAGCCTAGAATAAGCTCTGTGATAATGGATCAGAATATATATAATGTAAGTATAAACTCACATTTAGCTTAATATATACACAGATGGTTCCAGGTAGAAACCTTTATAATTAAGTGGGTACATATAAGTTAGAATACACACATAAATTTCTTTGCACTGTCAGCTGTGAGGGTCATGATGCAATGACCACATTTAGTGGCCAGATACAAGTTTTTAATACCATTCTCTAACAGGGCTCTTGTAAAAAAAAAAAAAAAATGGCTGAAACGAGTACAGGAACAGAAAATACATGAGCCAGGATACTTCTGAAGTAACAGAAATAAATTGTAAATAAATAAATACATGAAATTATGTCAAAAGGAGCCAGTGCAAAGAAAGAGCTCCCAATGGCCACAAAGTATGAACAGAGAGCAACAAAATACTGTAGAATTGGATAATAACCAAAAGATTAAAGTAACTATCTGATTGTGTATCTATTGTGTATAAATTAATGATTAAACAGATACACAAATGAGCTGAATAGAAATCTCTTATACAGAAGAATTCCAAATACCTGATATAGACAGTCAGCCATCAAGGAGGTGGGGCTAACTCCCCACTCCTTAATTGTGGGCTCTGCATGGTGACTTCCTCCAAAAGCATACATACAATATAGACATGGGGAAAAAAATAACTTCACAGTGAGAAACGGGAAAACACTACCTAAGCCAGGTGATCAAAGTTAACATTAATGGTGATAACACATCTTGAGAGCATGAAGAGACTAGAATAGTACCTGCAAATCAAAAAAAAATTCAAAGGCCCTTCCCCCAACCATCTGTATAGACTCCCTCCTCTCCACCAGGGGACACCAAAGTTAACCTGGAAGACTGGTTCAGGCCATGACGGGAAAGAGGTGGTCAGACATGCCTCATTATGCCCTACTACCTTTCGGAATTCAGGAAAAGCCAATCAGCATTTAGTTTCTTAACAGACCTTAAATCTGATAAGAAACATTTACAATCTATTCTCTCTGAAGCCTGCTACCTGGAAGCTTCATCTGCATGCAAAACTTTGGTCTCCATAATACCTATCATAACCCAGACATTACTTTCTATTGATAATAACTCTTTCAACCAACTGCCAATAAGAAAATGTTTAAATCTACCTATAACCTGGAAGCCCCACCCCACCCTAACCCACTGGGTTGGCTCAGAATACATCTCTTCAAATATTTTATAGACTTTGATTCTTTTTGTGAACACACTACATATCTGATCTGCTTCCCCCAAACCCATAACCCCAGTCTAATTATGACAAAAACACCAAGTAAACCACAATGGAGGACATTCTACACAATACCTGGCCAATCCTTCTAACTGTTCCAAGTCCTCAGAAGGAAAGTATGAGAGACTGACAGCCAAGAGGAGCCTGACATGAAGACTAAATGTCCTGTGGGATCCTAGACAGAAAAAGGCAGAACTAAGGGAAACCAAATAAAATGTGAGCTTATTTAATAATATAGTAACATCCAGTCATTAACTATGACAAATGATGTAAGATGTTGGCCAGGCATGGTGGGTCCTGCCTGTAATCCCAGCATTCTGGGAGGCAGAGGCGGGAGAATCATCTAAGGTCAGGGGTTCCAGACCAACCTGGCCAACATGGTGAAACCCCCTCTCTACTAAAAATACAAAAAGTAGCGGAGTGTGATAGCAGGTGCCAGTAATCCCAGCTGCTAGGGAGGCTGAGGCAGGATAGCTGCTTGAATCTGAGGGGCAGAGGTTGCAGTGAACTGAGATCACACCACTGCACTCCAGCCTGGGTAAGAGAGACTCCATCTCAAAAAAAAAAAAAAGATGTTAATAACATATCTGATACATGCTGATATGTTAATAAGACGGGAAACTCAGTTGGCTCTACATAGGAAATCTGCATTTTCTTCCCAATTTCTGTGTGACTCTAAAACTAATTTAAAATAAAACCTTTATTTAAAAATTGTAATTTTTTTCAAATATCTGCTTAATTCTTTGTACTAATAAGTAGTAATTACTGACACTAACTACTGCTACTTTTTTGCGGGGAGGGGGGGCGGGGATCGGGCGGGTAGAATCTAGGTCTACCAATAGGCTGGAGAGCAGTGGCATCATCTCGGTTCACTGCAACCTCAACCTCACAGGTTTAAGCAATTCCTCTGCCTCAGCCTCCCAAGTAGCTGGGACTATAGGTACACATCACCATGCCCAGCTAATTTTTTGTATTTTAGTAGAGTTGGGGTTTCACCCTGTTGGCCAGGATGGTCTCAATCTCCTGACCTCATGATCCACCTGCCTTGGCCCCCCAAAGTGCTGGGATTACAGGCGTGAGCCACCACGCCTGGCCACTACTGCTACTTTTTAAAATAAGAGCATTCATGATGCTGCAAAATAAATTATGCAAACTAATATATAACTTCAAGGAAATGCCTCTTTTACATGTTTTATGTTAACACATACATGTAAACATATTTATCGTAACTTCTTTTCTTGTGGTGTGGTTCTCTCTAGGAAAGCTGGTCACCTTAGAACCAGGAAAAAAATTCACATTGTGGAGACTATTTCAATTTACTGCTGAATGTTTTCAAAAGTGCGACTTTGTTAAAAAAAAAAAAAAAAAAAAATCAAATAGCAAATTGTAACTCGATCGCTTATTCTAATAAATGCTTGTCTTTATTTTGTTTCCCAGCATTCCTTTTAGCTACAATAGAACAGAAGCAAGTATTTGCCACTGGGAAAAATATTCAAAGGCAGGAAGAATGTAAACAGAATTTGTGACCACAATCATTCAGTGTTTCATCACAATGCTTTCTAATACAAAAGAGTTTAAAGGGATAGTCAAAGTTATTCCCCCAAAGATGCTTTCTGATGGAATTAGAGAAATAAAAGTGGCAGGACGTTCAATGTGACTGTAGATGCCACTGTGTCTTATGGGAAAAAATAATTTACCTCTTAGAAGATCAAAAAGAATTCCTGGAAGCCCAGACTCTGGAATGTTTCTAAATTTAGATGTCAATATAGCTAGTAAAGAATATGATAAAAAGGGATCTGGGCTTTGTATAATAAAATACCAAGGCAGTATTTAATGTTCCAAGGGAAAAAGTTATGCCTGAAATACAGTTGACAATATCAGAATCAAAATATACTTCCTGGCCAGGCATGATGGCTCACACCTGTAATCCCAGCACTTTGGGAGGCCAAGGCAGGTGGATCGCCTGAGGTCGGGAGTTTGAGACCAGCCTGACAAACATGGAGAAACCCCATCTCTACTAAAAATACAAAATTTAGCCAGGTGTGGTATGCATGCCTGTAATCCCAGCCACTCGGGAGGCTGAGGCAAGAGAATCACTTGAACCCAGGAGGCAGAAGTTGTGGTGGGCTGAGATTGTGCCATTCCTCTGCCCTACTACATATGTAAAAATGCAAATTCACTGAGCCAGACTAAATTGTGTACTCAATGGAAGGCTGATCAAGGGTTCAAAAGAATTTAACCCTTTGTCTCTTATCTACTTTTGACATGGAAGCAGCCCCACTTCCTGCTTCTAGTTGTTCCACCTTATTGGACCAAATGACTATACATCTTAAACATATTGATTGGTGTTTCCTGTCTCCCTAAAACGTATAAAAGCAAGCTCTACCCTGACCACCCCACCTTGGGCACACGTTGTCAGGACCTCCTGAGGCTGTATCATGGGCATGTCCTTAACCTTGGCAAAATAAGCTTTCTAAATTGACTGAGACCCGACTCAGATATTTTGGGATCACAATCCACAGTCACCATGGTGTGACAGCTGACTACAGCATTCAGTACAGAGACGAGCTATACAGGTTAGTAGCCTGGGAGCAATAGGCTATACCATATAACTTATGTGTGGAGTGAGCTACACCATCTAGGTTTTATAAGGGCACTCTATGGTGTTCACACAAAGATGAAATCACTAAGGACAAATTTCTCATAAAGTATCCACATCGTTAGGAGATGCTTGAGTGTATTTTAAATGGTTAAAGCCTAGAAGAAAAAAAAGAAACTGAACTCCTGTTATGATTTAGTAACAAAGATTAATAGAGTTAACATATTTCATCTAATCTAAGATGCCAATGATTAAAAGACATTTTACGCACCATCACAAATAGGTGGCCAATTAAACCGACTTTCTAAACAACAAAAATGTGAATGTAGTTCTATCCATGCCAGGAAAGTAACATTAAAGTGAATTATGGTTTTGCTGTGTTAAAGCAAAAAAGGAAGCCGTTAGCGTGAGATCTTCCCTAAGCAAACAGAAACCGAACTTGGAGGCATTTAAACTGACTTTTAAAAAATAACAAAGCAACCATGGTCAATGACAAAAAGCACGGCTGCTAGCCGGCTATATGACTATGGCCGCTGAGGGAACCATCCCCACAACAGGCGGTCGCCCAGCTGGAGCCAATGAGAAACCTCACTTAGCTACCAGTGCAAAGAGCTCGCAGCTCCAAACCCTGTTTTCCATTTGGTGCTTCAGGCATGATTCACGAACCTTTCCTTTGCTCAAATAAACTATTTTTATTTATTTATTTATTTGTTTTTATTTATGTATTATTTATTTTTTTATTTTATTATTTATTTATTATTTTATTTATTTTTTAATTTTTAAATTTTATTTATTTATTTATTTGAGACGGAGTTTCGCTCTTGTTACCCAGGCTGGAGTGCAATGGCGCGATCTCGGCTCACCGCAACCTCCGCCTCCTGGGTTCAGGCAATTCTCCTGCCTCAGCCTCCTGAACTTTAAATTTATTTTGCCTAAAATTCGTCTAACCCCTAAGCCCTAAACCCTAACCCTAACCATACACGACTTCCTACGTTTGCACTGATGTTTCGGTGCTGATTATTAAGAGTGCTGTATCAGCCAGGCCGCGCGGGCAGTGCGGATGTGATGGTAACACTGTGGACTGGGACCGTGCATTAGCCTCACGGGCGTTTTCTACACGAACACCGCGGGTGTCGTATTCGTATTTCGGATGTCTATCTGCCTTAGGAACGCTCTGTCTGTGCTCTGAGGCTGCGGTGCGGACCTCACACCGCGGCCGCCTGGACTTGGGTCGGGAGAGCTTCCGCGCGCAGGATTCAGAGGTGCTTTTGCCGTTCAGGTTGCCTCGCCGAGACCTTCTTCCTGGTCTCTGACCCTCAGCAGTCAGGCTGCAAACAGGAAGGATTTCACTCACCGTGGACGCGGCCCGGAGTTGTCCCAAAGCGAGGCGGTGCCCCGAAGTTCTGGGCTGAGAACGCTCGTCTGTCCTCTCGGTGCCCGCGCCGGGTCTGTGCTGAAGAGAATGCAGCTCCGACCTCGCAGCGGCTCCCAGTCTGTGCTGAGGAGAACGCAACTCCCCAGACTGCCATGCACGCCGGCGCCGTGACGCCGTGACGCCGGCGCCGTGACGCCGTGACGCCGGCGCCGTGACGCCGTGACGCCGGCGCCGTGACGCCGTGACGCCGGCGCCGTGACGCCGTGACGCCGGGACGCCGGCGACGTGACGCCGGGACGCCGGCGACGTGACGCCGGGACGCCGGCGACGTGACGCCGGGACGCCGGGACGCCGGCGCCGGGACGCCGTGACGCCGTGTCGCCGTGACGCCGTGACGCCGTGTCGCCGGGCGCCGGGACGCCGGGACGCTGGAACGCCGTGACGCCGTGACGCCGGCGCCGTGACGCGATGCACGCCGGAGGCGGAGCCTCAGGAATCTGAAAAGGCGGGTTCGGGCACCACCTGCTGGCGGCCAGTCACTGCAGGGGCCCTCTTGCTCCGGTGTGGTGCCCGTGCTGCCAGGTCCTCTTGCTCGCGGCATAGTGGCAGCACGCCCCCTGCTGGCCGCTGGGGGCACTGCAGGGCCCTCTTGCTCACAGGGTGGTGGCAGCACGCCTTATGCTGGCAACCAGAGCACTGCAGGGTCCTTTTGCTCATGGTATGGTCCCTGTGTGCCCCCTGCTGGCAGCCAGGGATGCTTCACGGTCCTCTTGCTAACAGTGTAGTTAATAAAATTAACAGATTCTAATTTTATTTAAAATGGTCAAGGCCCAGAAAACAGAGAGGACTAATTTTAATTAATTTCATGGTATAATCTTGAAGTTTGATACAGTTCATATATTTCATCAAATGTAAAATTTCAATGTTTATAAAACATTATTGCCAGGCACGGTGGCTCATGCCTGTAATCCCAGCACTTTGGGAGGATGAGGCGGGTAGATGACGACGTCAGGAGTTCGAGACCAGCCTGACCATCATGATGAAACTCCATCTCTACAAAAAATATAAAAATTATTTCAACTGAAATCGAGCCCACCATTCCATGCCTTGATCAGAACAGATGGAGATAAGAAGAACAAAGAAGATGGGCAATAGACAAAACGCAACTGATTTTTTTTGTATCAACAGTAATGTGTAGGAATAATTGGAACTTAAAATATTAAAATACCATTTACAACAGCACTCCCAAAATTGAATCCATTAAGTATAAATCTCACAAAACATATTAAAACTATTCAGAAAACCATGAATCATGGTTGAGATAAATAAAAATAAACATATATAAGGCTGGGAGTGATGGTTCACACCCGAAATCCCAGAACTTTGGGAGGCCGAGGTGGGCGGATCACTTGAGGTCGGGAATTTGAGACCAGCCTGACCAACATGGAGAAACCCAGTCTTTACTAAAAATAAAGAAATTACCCAAGTGTGATGGCACATACATGTAATCCCAGCTACTCGGGAGGCTGAGGCAGGAGAATCACTTGAACCCGGGAGGTGGAGGTTGCAGTGAGCCAAGATCGAGCCATTGCGATCCAGTCTAGGTAACAGAAGCTGAACTCCAGCTCAAAAAGATTTTTAAAAATATATATGTATATGTAAATGCAGAGATATTCCTTGTTTTAGAGAAATACACTCATTATTCTGAAGTTGACAATCATTTCAAACTTCATCTATAGATTCAGCCAAATCACAATCAAACTACTGCCTAAACCCAGAAAGGATGACATAAGGCTGAAAAAGAACAAAGTTTAAAATACTACACAACCAGATCTAAACAAGTAAAACCACAGTAATAAAGAAAATGTGATATTGGTGAAGGAGTAGATACATAGATAAGTGGAACAGAATAGAGAACCCCATAATTCATTTGACCTCAAGTCAACTGATTTTTTTAAATGGGGCAAAGGGAGGCCAAGGTGGGTGGATCATCTGAGGTCAGGAGTTCGAGACCAGTCTGGCCAACTTGGCAAAACCTCCTCTCTACTAAAAATACAAAAATTAGTGGGGTGTGGTGGCATGCACCTGTAATCCCAGCTACTCAGGAGGCTGAGGCAGGAGAACCACTTGAACCAGGGAGGCGAAGGTTGCAGTGAGCTGAGATCACACTACTGCACTCCAGCCTGGGCAACAGAGTGGGACTCTGTCTCAATAAAAAAAATTTTTATAATAAATAAATAAATAAATAAAGTGAAACAAAATCAAACAACAACAACAAACCCCTTCCTTTCTCCACTACAACTCTCCACTATGGGGAGTCGCTAACCAAACTATTCAAACATCACAAAGAATCTCTCAATGCTTCTCAACAGAACCCCTGAGGGAATTCCAGATACTTCTATTTTTTATTAGTGATAAAGCTCTGTAACTTGCTATGTTAAACACCCATACCATCCACACCTGCTTTTCCTGGGGTGTTGGCCCAGCTCACAAGGGATGCCTAAGCCCAGGCTGCCTTCTGAAACTCAGGGAGCACCCTGGCTTCCAAGAACACAACACGGGAGACCTGTCCATTTGGACACTGCACCTGGAAGAAACACAGTGTTGCAAATAGAGGCTCCCTCTGCCAGGCTCAAGCCTGCTCTCCCATCTGGGTACCTCCTGATCCTGTAAAGACCCTCCCACTCTGACTCAGGAGAGAATATTGCCCCACAGCACCCCCCACACACCCAGCCCTGGGTTGACTAACATCCAGCCATAAGTCATTCCTGCCCCTTGTTTATCTTTTCTTACTTTATTCACTCCAGTGGCACTAGCCGAGCCCTCCTCATCACCATGAGCTGTGGATCCAGAAGTGGAAAGCAAAACACAGTGCTCAGAGAAGACCTCACCTGGCTAGGAGGCAGGGGCTGGCTCTGCTCAATGGCAAGCAAAAAAAAAAAAAAAAAAAAACAGGGAATTCAGATGGAACTGAGAGATCCAGGGGCTGGAAAAGATAATTCAAGGACAGGCTGTGTCTCAGGGGACACTCGGTGACCACACACACCCAATACTCCTGCCCACCAGGACAAGCTCTAAGGGACATTGGTTGAGTAGATCCACCCAGTCCTCTTTCTACCCATTAGGATTGGCGCTATCTTGGGGGGCACTGAGTAACAAGACCCAACGAGTCATCTTCTCATCAGGAAAGGCTCTGTCCAGGGTGACACTGAGTGACAAGACCCACCCAGTTATCTTTCTACCCATCAGGAAAAGCTCTTTCTCAGGGAGACATTGGGTAAACAGACCCATCCAGTCCTCTTTCTGCCCATCAGGTGCCATTGTAAGTGCTTGGCAGTGATCATGACCAGACTCTCTTCCAACAGGATCCTGAAGCGAATAGAGTGTTAGGAGGCAAATGTGTTACACATGGAGCAGAGTCACTGTGAGGGTCACAGAGGGCAGCTGTAGAGAGGGTCAGAACAGGCACATGGGGGAGGAGCTGGAAATTACAAAAGTGAACAAAGCACCGTTTGCTAAGACGTTATCAGCCTGGGCTCTGACAGAGACAAGAGGCCATTACGACCAAATCAGAGAGCAGGCATGAGAGCAGAGATGGACTAGTACATTTAGGACATGTTATTTTCCCCTCTGAGTCTATGACGCTAGAAAACAAGCATTAAAATGCCCTGATCTCAGACACAGGACAACAGGTCCAGGGGGTGAGGCTCATGCTGTTCTCCTTCCTGTCCACCAGAGAAACCACTTAACCCAATGTCCAGCTGCCTAGGGCATTCGTAGGTCAAAGAGACAGGACAAAAGTGTCCCTGAGTGGAGCAGGCAATGAGGAGAGCCCTGCTGAGTGGGCAAGATAAAAAAGGGGCCGTGGACCACTAAGCCTGTGAGGAAGGTGCACGGAGTGATTGGCAAAGGAATCCTGATGCTTAAGGCATGGCAGGGAAGCAGGCAGAGAGAGACCGCCCTGGTCCCAGCTCCCACGGGGCTGCCCACCCGCAACCCTAACCCAATCCATACACCAACCCGAACCAAGCCAGAATCCAAACATGAATCCTGACTTCTAACCCCTGAACCCTAACCCCAGCATTAACCCTAACCCTATAATAGCTCTGCATGGTAACTTCTGACGTGGATTGAGTTTTATCTGTTTATGCACAGTTATGCGCATCATGGAAAGGAAGACTTTCCATGGCTCCCTGGCATTTGAGGAAGGGATGGAGCAGTTTCTGCACGTTGAACATACATTAGGCTGCTGCTAGGAATTCACAAACACCACAGCTTTTAATCCTCCTCCAAGTGATATGTATTGCCCCCTTTTTAAGTGAACCAGTGGTTTTTTTCCTCATTCAAGCTCACAGCTTAATGCTCTTCATTAAATCTCTTTTCATGCAACATTAAATTATATGGGAACCCAAGCTTTGGTCAAATAGCCTTGGCTTAAAAATCTTTCCCTTTACCTGCTATGTGACATTGAAATAATCAGGGAATAATACTGGACTTAAATCATTAACATGGAAAATGTCAATAATTATGCCATGTGAGCCAAAGAGGTATGCTAATGATAAACACTGTCTATAGAATCTCTGACTTAGAATATTAGGTCAGTAAAATGTAACTGGTGTAGTTTGTCACGAGTAATAATGTTACCTTAGGATAAAAACGTGGTTACAATATTCTTGAATTTTCCTGAAGTGTCACCTCTACCAATAATTCTTACTATCAATATTTCTCTAATTAAAGTAACTAAGTAAAATATATATAACATCATACACTAATACCTAGGCATAGTTTTTAATACATTTATTATTTTTACTGTAATCCTATGACATAAAAGAATACTGAAACTTAGAATGGTTAGTTTGTCTAAAATCAAACAGCCTTAAAGTGGTATGATAAAAATATGTCTAAGAAGCCAGGCTTAGTGGCTCAGGCCTGTTGTCCCAACACTTTGGGAGGCTGAGGCAGGCAGATCTCCTGAGGTGGGGAGTTAGAGACCAGCCTGACCAACATGGAGAAACCTCCTCTTTACTAAAAATACAAAAAAATTAGCTGGGGTGACGGTACATGCCTGTAATCACAGATACTCAGGTGGCTGAGGCAGGAGAATCGCTTGAACCCATAAGGTGGAGGTTGCCGTGAGCTGAGATGGTACCATTGCACTCCAGCCTGGGCAACAACACCAAAACTCTGTCTCAGAAAAAAGAAAAAGCCTGAT